ATATATTTCTTGGCATACTGATGTTTAAAATAATTCTTGAGGGAATTGGTGGGAAGGGGAAGGTATGATGGTAATGGAAATACTCTTTAAAAGAATTCTTGCTAATCATCCTTCAGCACTATTATTTGTTTTTGTTTTTTACTAACATATTAAAATGTCACTTAGCACTTTTGAATATTTCTTTTTCTGGGTATTTCCTTTTGTGATCCTTTTGTAGTTTTTTAACAGTTCCTACCAGGCAGTGTTTAATACAGTAATCAAAGAAATAGCTGCTCCCTAAGAATTGGAAGAGGATTTGGATATTCCCCTGTCTAAGTTGCTGGAAAGTGAAAACAGAAGGAAGCTGGGGATCCTGTAAGTAACTGGAAGGTGGAGCTAATGGTCAGTGAGTTCTAGGAGGCCAGAGGTAGCAGCAGAGAAAGCGTAAATAGGGCCAGCAGGAAAGAAAGAAGAACCAGGGTGAGGCAGGTACCCTGACTCAAAGAGCTAGCCCAAGCCAGGTACCAGGGCAAGGGCAGGAGTGACACCCAAGGGTCAAATAGACAGAATTTTCCAGACCAAGATCAAAACTCAAGAGTGAGGAAATCAAAAGCGTGGGAGGCACAGGAATGGAACAAAGGCAGGCAATGGCAGAAGTTGGAAATCCAGAGCAAGAAATGTCTTGGAAAGCCATGATCTAATACAAAAGCCTAGAGAACAAGAGCCAACCCCCTTTAAAAGAGAGGGCAAGGTGTCATCAAGATCCTGGATATCTGTCCAACAAACTCCCTAGCTTCCCCCTATGCTAGATAATACTTTGCCATACTTTCTGAAGGAGGGAGAGCCATGGGCTGCACTGACATGGGGGTTGTAGTCAGAGCCCAAGACCATGGAGTGAAGAATGATAAGGATATTTCAAAACTGTTACTGGCACCAGGTCTTTCTAGCTGGCAAGGCCCCAGGTCATAAATGTTGCAGAAACCCACTATGCATCCAGTCTCAGTTGCAGGACATGATGTCGGTATAGAAGCCTGAATGTTCCTTTAGCCAATAGAGAAACCTGGAGAGCGAGATGGGGTGTAGTTGGAACGCATGGATTTGTGGAACATTCTATAGCAGTGACACTAGGCACAGGACATCCTATGAAATCACTGTGACAAGTTCAGGCATTCACCAACTCAGAAAGAGGTTGGCTTCCGGGAGCATCCACTGTGGGCTTGGTAGTCATGGGCAACAGATCCCCAAGGCCTCTCCAGAAAGGGGAAGGCAAAAAACAGAGCTCCTAGGGCAAAACATAAAGAATTCCCAAGCTTTGACAGCAGAAACCAACACCAAATATAGTGTCACCTACATGCTATTTCCTCCACTTTCTCATCATTTCAGCCTATAACAGAGTCTCAGTCCAACCTGATTGCACTCAACATTCCCTGAGTACCTGCTGTGTGCTAAGCAATGCTCTAGAAATATAGTGTGTACTTCACAGCCTCTGCCTTTGGAGAACTAATGGTAGGAACTGTAAAGGTGATCAAAAGACAAGAGAAGAACACCTAGCCCTTCTCAAGAGGGACTTGGGTGCCCCTGACTGGATTCCTTCCCTGGAGTTTAAGTCCTACCTGTATTTAGCATCTTGCTATCAGTCCAAAGGACATGTCTCTACCCACCCCATGACATGCTCCCAATGGGCCATGAAGACCTCACTCTCTAGTTTCCTGATTACTTCTTTGAATAAATAGTGACCCATTGCTCTCTTCTAAGTAAAACAGCAAAATCAATTCCAACCTATTTGCTTTCTAGAGTTGTTCTGAGTTAAATCATTATGCTTTCTCCAAGGAACCTGAGCTACATGGCCAAGGCCTTCTCAGATCCAACTAAGCTAGAATGCTCATTCTGGTACATTCTCTTTCAAGGGGACCCTGACCTGAGAACCGGGAAGCACAGTTGCTCTCGAGGCCATCTTTATTAGGAAGTGAAACAGTCAGAGCCACTGAAAGGACAGAACGACACTTTGTATATTGGGGGTGGGAGCGGCATTTGAAAGGCTGTGCCTTAGTGTGGCCTTCAGGATCAGTCATTTTGAGTGAGCCTACTTAACATGTTTCCTACTAAATGCAAAGAGTTTCAAATGGTTCTGGAATTCACAGACAATGCTGTTTTGCCACAACATCCCTAGATGTCCCTTACGGGGACAGAGACAAGCCATAGAACTTCACTCATAGAGATGCACTTGCATTTGGACCTCCCTTGGCCCCAAAGATAACCCTTGCTGAATTCCTCTGTGAAGAACCTGAGAGGCAGCTCTTGTGCCCAGGTTGCAGGTCAGCTAGAGATCAGTCAGGAAGGACAGGTTCAAAGCTCTGTGCCGTGTCTTTATTCCTAAGCTTTCACTGGATGGGAAAGCTGGGTTGGAAAGTAGAGCCATCGGCCAACAATCCCCTGACTAGGAAGTCTCTGCAGGATCCAGCCTCTCCTTATATGAAAGCATAAATTCAGTCTTGGCCTCTAAAAATGATTCACATTCCTTTTAGGTTGAAGAAAAATTTTGAAATATTCAAAGAAACAATACTGTTGATAATGAAGAGACGTGAGGGTAAGCACCACTCTGCCAGTTTCCACCTCTTGCTGGTCTCCTGTCTGTATCTAGCTGCCTTGTACTGTAAAGGAGGCAGAGATGCTTGTTCATTCAAGTACCTACTGGGCTAACAAAGCCCCAAGTGCAGAAGACAAAATGCCAAGCAAGACAGACACCGTGTAGGGCTTTGGTGGGCTTATTGGTTGGTGGGAAAGAGGTGAGAGAGTTCAAGAGAGTGGGAACTGTATAGAGGATTTTTAAGGCCTGTGACCAGCAGGGTGGCTATGGGAAACACAGGAGATAGTCTAGCCCAGATCTGGGAAGAGGGCCTCCAAGAAGGCAATATTAACAAAATCCGAAGAAGAAATAACCCTGTTGTTGGGACACTGAAGGCATTTGGGGCCCAGCTATTAAGATTTGCCAGTCTTAGAGGTTACTGGTTTTGTGGATCTAGTTATGGAAAACATAGGTCAAGGGGCAAAGTCATCAGGCTACTTGACTGAGAAATTCAAAACCATCATATAGGGGCTGAGGATTTAGCTTAGTGGTTCTGCCACCTGCCTTGCAAGCACGATGACCTGAGTTCAATCCCTGGTACAAAAAAAAAAAAAAACATCATATAGACCCAATCAATAGAAATGATGAGAGTCATACTCACCAGCTGTGGTATGCTTTCCCCCTAAGCCAGGTTCTCAGGTTCCCTTTCAAGAGAGGGAACCCTTCTCAGTGGCAGTGTACGCCCCAGCCTAACTCTTGAGGAATAAACTCTATGGCCAAGATACTTTCACATATGTGATTTAAAATGATCTTCATAACCATCTGAAGTAGGACTAAGAAACTTGGGCCAAAGAGGCTAAGTAACTTGCCCAAGATCACCCAGCCATTAAATAGAAAAACCATACTCATGCCCAAGGCCTCTCAGGCCAAACCCAGAGCTCATCCCCTGGGAACGTTCAGACCAGTGTGTTAGAGAAGAGACTAGACTGGAGACCCTGTACAGTTGGGTCTCATGTCCTCATTGGAGTTATGGGGCAAAGAAAAGGAGAGACTATCACCTTCAGTTACTGAAGTGGGACACACCTCCCGCCAAGACTCACAGCATGGGACACAGTATTCCAGATTTCTGCCCTGCGACCTGTGTCCCTGAACACTCTATTTTGCCAAGTTAAGGCTGGCTTCAGTGCCAGTCACGTAGGGCTCCACCCCAATAGGGTTCGTCTGCTTGTTTTAAAATTCTGCTGCTACTGCCTTGGAATTCTTAATAACTTTAGAACTAGAGTCCCTGCATTTTCATTTTGCTTTAGGTTCCTCAAATAATGTAGCCTTTCCTGTCCAGAACCAGCTAGTCTGGTGAGAAAAAGCAGAAGATTGCCCTGCTGGTTTCATGAACCATCAAAATGCCTTCTGTTTTGAGGACACGGATGTATCGACCTTCTACCCAGCAGCAGCACCATGTGTGCTGCATTTTACAGTAGTCTCACAGGCAGTTACTGTCATAGGTATCATTATCCCATTTTAGGAAATCTGGGGCTCACAGCTACGCTCGTTTCTTTCCTTGGATGTGAGCCTCCTGACTCTATCTTCTTGTCTCTCATTCTTTCTTCCCATTGTTTCCAAAATATCCTTTCAAAAACTTTGCATTGGCTCTCAAAGACCTCCAAGAAAGTGTCCACATTCCTCATGTGGCTCACAATATTTGCTCTCCAGACACATCAATGTTTCTGTCATTCATCAAAGGAGCCAAGTGTTCTCTGCCACAGTGCCTTTGTACTTGGTGCTCCTTCTGCCTAGAACACTCTTAGCACCAATAGCCAGGTCTCAGCTTAAAATGTTACCATCTCAGCATACTTTCCTTAACTGGCCTTTATCAGCCAGAGTGTGCACACGCACACACTTGCCTTTCTTCTATCCTTGCTTAATTTTTATGACATATTACATTTTTTTACCTGTTCACTTGTATAGCATTTGTCTCCCGAGGCAGCTCTTGATATAAAGGAGCAAAATAAGCATTTCTTGACTGAGAGAATGAAGCAGTGATCTACACAGCTTGCCTCTTCTAAATCTGTCACCACTAACCCATTCCCACTGGAACCTTCAACCACACATTGCATGTGCTACAACACCTGGCATGTAAGACATGTATCTTTCACCAAGAGTCATTCAGCTTCAAGCCTTGTTAAGCCCCTCCCATGAGCTCTCTTGACAGCCTGTGTTGGCCCCAGTGGTGGGACACCCAGGGCACTCCTGACCAACATCCCCTAACCCATCTGCCAAGTGATCTGAGCTCCACCAACAGGATCCTGGTGGGAGCGACAGACAGTAGGTCCTCTCCACATCTGGCCACTTCCACTCCTAGTGCTTACCGAAAAGTATGGAAAGCAGCACTTGCTCCTCAGTTGTTCTTACTAGGTTAGTTCCAAAATGATTATTATAAAAAGAAGCTTGTTGCTATGAAAACTAAAAAATGTTTCTTTTTTTCTCTTCTTTTTTTTTGAAAGCTCAAAGCTCAAAAGAAAACATTTTTTTAATTGCTTTGAGATAGATATAGACCAAACATACACAAAAGTTTGGGGAACACATACAAAAATTTTTAAAGATTCTCCAACTCCACACTCAGGCTATTACAAACTGCCAAGGCTGAAGGTGTTAAGTAATAAATTATGGATGTGGTTGGAACAAAAATGATCACAGAGTCCCAGTCCTTAGTCCTCAAAGGAAATATTTTGGCCCTACACTTTATAAGAGATATTAATATAAATTTTAAATTCAAACAATATGTTTAAGGTATATCTTCCCTTTTTTACCAACTACTCAACATAACCTCTGTTCATTTAACAGCTATACCTTTCATTGGTGAGCACACTGCTCAGGCCTTTGTGGTTGGTTCATTGTTGAGTCACCTCCCCAGGACCCCATCAGGACTAGGTGGTCTTCACCATTGCCTTCATCATCTGGCACTGGGCTGTCACACACTAGGCTCTCAACATGTGCTGAGTGGATGGATGGAGACAACAGAGAGCTGGAATTCCAGCCCTACCCTTCTTGAGTCAAAGGCCTTGCTCTTCCTATTATCTGGCAGCCCTCCTTCCAGGGAAAGTAGCTGATCAATCAAAACCCTCAAACTCCCTTTGGCACTTTGAGCAACATCTCAATTTCTTTTCTCTTCCCCACCAAAATATATTTGATCCAATCATCAGACTGAATGCAATCATCATTCAATCACTAAATGACAGGTCGAAAGACCACGTTCACATTCCATCTATCAACTCAACCAAAAGATGAGGAGGAGCCTACGGAAGAAGTCAAGGAAGAAGAAGAAGAAGAAGTCAAAAAAGATCATCATCATTCTATTCACCCCCGCCCCCGTAAGAAAATAGAACTAGACAAAGAATGGATGCAGAACAAGACAAAAGTAAGAATAGCAGTATGTGGTGCCCTCACTCTACACTGGGTTTCTGTTTGCTTTGGTTGGTTGGTTGGTTGCTTGCTTGCTTGCTTGCTTGGTTTTAGCTCAGGCAAGGCACACACACCATCAGAGAGCTGTCATTTCCAATACACAATGTGAACACAAACAAGAAAAATATATCTAATACATTGACCCCAGCTGAGCATGTGGGTTATTGGCATTTGAATAGGGATTTTACTAAATTTTGTTCAGAGTTCTGCCTGCAGGGTCTGTATTAGGCAAGTGGATGAGAGGAAGTAGAACAAGGTATATGCATTTTTATTACAGGTCCCCCATAATAAATTAGAATGGATATAAAAATCAATTACACAGTTAATAGATAAGCTATAGTGCATCCACACGATAGAATATTGTTCAACACTAAAAAGAAATGAGCTGTCAAGCTATGAAAGACATGGAGGGAAGATAGGTGCATTATTACTAAGTGAAAGAAGCCAGTCTGAAAAGGACATGTGTATGATCCCAGCTCTGCGGCATTCTCGAAAAGGTGAAAATCTGTGGAGACAGTGGTTGCTAGAGGTTAGGGGAGGAGTGAGGAATACACAGAGCAGAGAGGATTTTTAAGGTTTTCATACTCCATATGATACTACAGTGGTGAATACATATCTTTATACATTTGTCCAAACCTGCAAAAAGTACAACCTGAAGAGTGAAGTCTAATTAACAACAGACTTTGGGTGGTAATTGGTGTGTCGATATAGGTTCATCAGTTGTAGCCAGTGCACCACTCTGGTGGGGGATGTTGATCATAAGGGAGGCTGGGGGTGGGTAATGGAGGTATTTGGGGACATTTTTATTTCCACTTAATTTTGCTATGATCTGCTCTAAAATGTGAAGCTTGTTTTTAAAAGGTCAATCGTAATGGTATATATTTATCAAGGCTGATACTATAAAGTTTAAGTGAAAGTCAGACTTAAAATGTTAAGAGTCGGTAGCATGAGCTAGCAGTCAGATCTAATGCTCAAAGATCAGCTTAGAATGGAGATTAAAGAGACAAGGCGACTTTATGCCTTCAGTGCTGAGAACTCACAGTGCCCCAGTTGCTGGAGATACCGGGGTAAATGAAACAAATCCTCTCTTCCTGTGGACTTAGGTTCTAGTAAAAAACAGTGCCAGTAGACAAATATGCTACTAATGCTATGTCAGCTGAGTTGCATCAAAGGCCTTGCTCTTCCTACTTCCTGGGAGCCACAACGGAAAAGGAGCAGCATGAGGGGCTCTTCCATTGTCGGGCTGAGCTCGACATACCAATAGGACAATAGGGAAAGGCCTGCTGGGCCAAGTGCTGATCATAATGAAACGAGGGAAGAGTGAACCTCGAAGACAACTGGGGGAAGAGCACTCTAGGCAGAACGAACAAGGATCACTGTGAGCAAACAAGAGAGGTATAGGGAAGAAGCTTGGGTAAAACTGTGTTAGTCAGCTTTGCACCACTGTGACAAAATACCTGACATAATCAACTTTATAAGAGGTAAGATTTAGTTGGGCTCATGGTTTTGGAGATTTAGGTCCTTGGCTGCTTGGCCCTATTGTTTTGGGCTCGTGGTGAGACAGAACAACAGAACAAGCAAAGCAACTCAGCTCACGGCAGCCAGGAAAACAGGAAAAGGAAGAAGGAGTGAAAGACTCACTGTATGTTCCAAGGCCACACACACAGTGACCTAACTTCCTTCCACTAGGACACTTCCTAACATTTCTCCCTCTCAACAGCAGCACAGCAGGGAACCAAGCCTTCAGCACATGAGCTTGTGGGGCAACATTTGATAGCCAACACCTAACACCAGCTACTTGGCTGAGCCGCTGTCTCAAAGGACACAACGCTCATATTAGTCAGGATAATGCTCATTAGCTGCTTAAATAAACATTCTTTTCCAAAGTTAAGTGACTGAATAAACAGAAGGTATTGTTTGGTTTTGGTTTTGGTTTTTGGGGTGCTGGGCATTGAATCCAGGGCCTCATGCATGTGAGACAAGTGCTCTATCACTGAACCTCATCTCTAATCCCAGATGTGTATTTCTTGCTCACATTATGGAGTTCTTTAGAGTGGCTTCCCTCCAAGGTAGGTCTTGGAGATTTGGATCCTTTCATCAGGGATCTCTCCATCATCTTGCAGTTATTGTGTCCAGTTGTCTGGATAGAAAGTAAAGCCAAGGTCCATGCTTAAATCCAATTGGCCAGGGGCCAGGGATTTAGCTCAGTGTTTCCACCACCTGCCTGGCAAGCGCAAGGGCCTGAGTTCAATCCCCAGTACCAAATCAAAGACAAAAACAAAAAAATTCCATTGGCTGGAATAAGTCACATGATTGCCACCTAGCTATTCTAATTCCATTGGGGAACACATACACTTTCCAGCCACCAATGGGACATCTGCAATGATAGGTCACATACTAGAAAAAATAAATATCAGCAAACACTAAAAAGTTAATTACACATAGACTATGTGCTCTTGCACTGATGCATTTTAAGTAGTAATATAACCAAAGATACTATACACATTGGAAAATGTAAGAATACTCATAAATAACTGGGTATTGAGAAAACACATCTGAAATTTGAAAAGATTAATAATGAAGTAAAAATGAAAGACAAATATCTACACTCCTGGGAAAGAGATGAATCAATATTTTGAGAGGAATCTTATAGCTTTCACTACTTATATAAAGGAGGAGAATCATGAAGGAGGTGAAAACCAATAAGCTCAGCATCCAATCAAAGAATTAGAAAAATAGAATAACACAGAAGATAGGGCCAGGGATTTTGCTCAGTTGCACTGCACCTGCCTTGAAAGTGCAAGATCCTAAGTTTGATCCCTGGTACCAAAAATAAATAAATAAATAAATGACACAGAAGACCCACAGAAAGCAAAAGGCTACAAATGGTAGTGATAAGAGGCAAAAGTGAATATGATAGAAGGCAAAAAATGATAAAATAATCAAACCATAAACTGGTTCTTTGAAAAGACTAGTAAAATTGGCAAACTTCCTGGTGAGGTTGATGTAGAAAATGTAAAATATAAATAACATAAAGAATGAAAATAAGGGGCCAGGGATTTAGCTCAGTGGCACTGCACTGACCTCACAAGTGCAAGGTCCTGAGTTCGATTCCTGATACCAGGGGAAAAAAATGAAAATAAGGACATGAGTACAGGCACCATTTTAACTATATGACAATAAATTCAAAAGTTTACATAAAATGAACAGTTCCCAAGAAAAATATAATTTACTAAATCTAATTTAAGAAAAAAATTAAAATGTGAATATAGTTAGATTCTGCGTTAAACTGTGTGTCCCAAATAGATATGTTCAAATCCTAACAGAATGTTTTCTTATCTGGAAATAAGAGCTTTATAGACATGATTAATTACATTAAGATGAGGTCACTAGCCAGGCATTGCTGTATGGATCTGTAATCTCAGCACTCAGGGAGACTAAGGCAAGAATCCTGAGAGTTCGTCCTCAGCCTGGGCAACTTAGTGACTTAGCCAGACCCTGTCTCAAAATTAAAAAAAAAAAAAAATGTCAGGGCTGGAGAGGTGCCTCAGAGCAAAGGTCCTGAGTACAAAGTTCATACCGACTACAGTGTGCCCCTTCTCCAATTTCCTTCTCAGCCTCCTCCTCATACAGATAGGTAAACAGTGTTCCCCAGCAGTTTGTGTGGGACCATCGGTGTGACATCATGTGGGTCCCGGTGCTGTGGCGACTGGGCCACACTCTGAAGTAAGGTGGACGGCATCTGTGAGCTTTTTAAAAGTTTGTGTTTTCTTCCCAGGTACATCAAGGTGATGGAAAATTAATTCTCTACTCCAACAAGATCATCTTCCAAATTCTCTTTCCTAATGGGACAGGCCAGATACAGTATTCACTGGAACAGAGAGATGCTCACGTTGACGCAGACAGGCACAGTGTAAGTCTGTGATTTGGGGGTGGGTTGTGGGGTTTGACTGAGGACTGTGTCCTCTGCCTGTTCAGTGGGTAGGTTCCAAGGGACTGCCTTTGCCTTAACCATCTTCCAGCTATCCATCAGGAAACCTGGCTTTGCTCATCTGCGGCACAGGTGTTAAAAAGTTCATATACATCATTCTGGAAGATAATGCAAAAATGAGGGTTCGGGCCCTCATCGACAGCTCTGGCCATGCCACCTTCTATGATTAAAATGAAGATATCTGGTAAGCTTGAGCCCCCGGTCCCCGCACCCACAGAGGAGTAGTGTGGTGATCCCCAGTTCGCACTACCCTCCCTCCCTCCCTCTTTCCCTCCCTACCTCCTTCCCTATCTCAATTTGTACATGCTGGAAACCAGAGAAAGGGCACCACGAGAGACTAATAGGACAGGCCCATCCTTCTGAGAAGGCACAAGATCCTCGTGGCCTCCCTGAGGGCAAAACAGCAAGTGAGGGCTCGGTGATCACAGCCTACTGGCTGCATCTCCTCAGCACCTCTCCAGAGTCAAACTTTGTGAGACTTACCCAGAAATCCCAGGGGTCTCGAGGCAGGGTTGGTGAGGGCTTTGGAGACACATGTATTACGTACAGAAGCCACAATCCAAAAAGCAACTTCTAAATATTTCATTATAATCAAGCATCATTCCTAAGTTCCCAGCTCTGGTAAACTTCGTCTGACCCACACAAAGTAATTGGTCCCTTCAAACAGCACCCATGGGCTGCGGATTTAGCTCAGAGGTTCAGTGGCCTGCCTTGCAAACGCAAGGACCCAAGTTCAATCCCCGATACCAAAAAGAAAAAAAAAAAAAACAGCGCCCATCTCTAAGGTGAGTTAGGTGTCTCTATTTAGGAATTCCCCTTCTACTTTCTTTCTAAAGTGGTCATGGTATGGGAGTCGCACACTATTTGGATCAACTTATACTTTATTTTTGATAGTCAAGACCAAAGTTAATTTTTTTAATTCTAAAAAATTAGCATTGCCCTCTAAGCCTTGGATTTTAAGAATATTTTCTCCACTCATGGGTATTTTAAACACCATTTCCTAGTTGACTTCTTAGTTCTGAGAGGTATGTGCTCTCCTCTGAGGGCTGTTTGTGTAGGAAATGCTGCCTAAAAACTCTCATCCTGGATAAAGGAAGTGGAGGTGAGGTGAAAAGTTCAGTTTATAATCTTAAATAGTATCTGGCGATGTTCCAATAGAAAATTTGGAAAAATCTAAGAAGTTCTCTCATTGCATTGACAAAGAAACAGGCTTGGACAATAAATTAGTCATACAGAAAATCACAGGAAAGAAAATTTAGAACATGTTGATTCAGCCTTATAAAATCATTTTTAAAGCATCAAGTAATGCATATAAGAGATAGTCCAATGTATCCCTAAATCCCAGGGATTTAGCCCCAGCAGCAGGCAAGGGGACGGGTGCTCCTCAGAGCTGGTGTTAGGGCTGACCCGAACTCAGTATGATACGCAGATGCCAGCCATGTGCTAGGGCAGGAGACGTTTAGTGTGATGATGGCGTGAGGTGAGGAAAAGTGCATGAGATCCAGGGGCAGAAAAGAGACTGCGGAAATGAGGCCCAAATGAACCACATCAGGCAACAGGGGCACTGCTCTGCCACAGGGCTCAGAAACCAGCTGCCTGACACTTCTCTCGGTCTCGGTTGAGCCTGAGCAGGAGCCTGGGCCACTACTTCCCCAAAGGCCAGCCCCAGATGGTCTGGAACTGGTGGGATCTGAGCTTCCATGTCCATGCACCCCCTATCAAGTGTATCTCCTTGAAAATCAACCGGTACATCCAGGTACAAATAAGGAGCCAAGACCAGATCATCCTCTGCTTCTTCCATGAACAGAAACGGCTTTGTTTAAACCTGGGCACTAAAGACAAGGTAAGGACTTCTGCTGGGTGGGATACCCACCTACCCACAGGCTGTGGCTCATGCAAGGCCACCTTCCTTTACCCGATGCTTACTGCCACAGGCCTTTATGTCGCCTGCAGCACCATGAGACTGAGCACTGCAAGAGCTGACATCCTCGGCTCACTATGAGCCAGGCAGAAAAACAAAGGCGTCGGTTTGCACTGCTTCACTTCACCATCACAGCAGCCTGGTCATGGGAGGGCAGGGGCTGACACTCAGGGAGGACAAGTCTTCTCTCCTCCCTAAACACCCATCCCAGAGCAAATAATTACCTGGAGGTCTGACGAGCTGATGGGTTCCAGCAGGAATCCTTCTTTGCCTCTCGCGGCTGCTGGTCACCCATGCGTTGCTTGGCTTGTGGCTGTGTCACTCCAGCCTCTGCCTCCCTCTCCTCTGTGTGCTGAATCTCCTCCTCCTCCTTTCTTTTATGAGGGCACCAGTCACTGGATTTAGGGCCTATCCTAGCCCAGGCTGATCTCAACCTGAATCCTTAATTACCTCAGATACTTAGGAGAATAAGGTCATACACACAAGTACAGCAGCTTAGGACTTAGGCATAATATCTTAAGGTAGGGGGAATAATTCGACCCAATACTAACATTGAGTCTGGACTCCGGGAGTATTGTTGTGGTTAGGGAAGGTGGGCTCTTGAGACCCTTCCTGGGGACCAGAGGCAAGGAGAAGAATAAAGAAGCCCCCAGTAAGACCTGAACACAACCCTATTCTTGTTCCTCTTCCCCATTGCATGGGGAAGGCTCCATTCACAGACCCACCGGAAAGGCAGTCAGGCCTCTGGAAGGCCAACCTCAGCACAGACAGATAGGTAGACATGTCTTTTGGGAGATGAGCAGATGAAACTGCCAAATAGCCAACCCTGGAAAAATTAAGCTGTGTGAATATTATTTGAGTGAATATTATTTGCAAGTAGAGGAGGAAATGTAGTAGGTGACCAGCTGCCCATTTGCTCAGGATCAAGGGTCTCCCAGGACACGGAACTCTGCATGCTAACACTGGGGAAGCTCCAACCAGCCCTGACCAGCTGATATCCTGGGTCCCTTTCTGGCCTAGCCACCATTTTGCAGGCTGAATAGTGATGCCCCAATATGCCTGACCATCTGGGTTTTTCCAAGTAGCTGAACCCAGCACTTCTGTCATGAGTCACCATTCACCCTCCTGCCACAGCAGAAACAAGCTTAAGAGGAAGCAGTTGAGTCTGGAGAGGGCACAAGGGCCTGTGTGGATCACTGGTCTGTAAATAGCAGCAGGTTTCCATAGGGGTTGAGGGCCAGGAAAGGGAGACAGTGACCAGAAAAGGCTGCATGGACAGACAGATCAGGAGGCCTAACAGGCCTGGGGTCCCTGAGGGGAGCTGCACCCATTGGGGTAGATGGAACAAGTCAGCACAAATGTAATGAGTCACAGAGACAGGAAGAAGACAGAGCAGGGCTGTGATCAGATCAGCCCAGGCTAGGCAGCTAGGGGGCCCTGGGAAAACTATGCCCTCCATACCCACCTCTGCATTTCCTGGGTGATGCTGGCCTGTTGTCTTCTGTAAGAGGGATGGCTTGTTGTATGGCCTAAAGGAAGACACTTTGTGTGAAGTCATTTCATCAGCTGGAGACCGCACAGAAAAAGGGTATGTTGGTATTGTTCTTTATTATGTCCCTTCCAGGTTATTTTTTATCAGCCTTCTACAGGCGACAAACCTAGGCAGAGCGTGAACTGAGACAGCCTCATGGGCAAAGCCTCGTGCCAACAAAATCCAGTATACTCCCAAAGAACCCAAAGTAGGAGTGGGGCTCATCAGTAGACTGCATGAGGTCTCTCAGCCCTGACTGTTCCTTGACCCAGGATGAAGCCTCATGCCCATGAGCAAGGAGCCTGATGCCCCTGGGACAGCGCAGCCTTTGAAGCCAGTCCATACCAGGGAAAGAGCTAGTCCCTCTCTGGTGAGGGGGTCTCTCGTGTGTGGTCTCAGCCCGTATCACCATGTGCACATGGCCATAGGCACTGGCCAAAGTCTGGGGAGGCAGCAGAAAGGCAGGCTGCCAGCAGCAGGGCTGGAGAAATGCATCTGCCCTTGGGGGTGGAGATTCCAGGGAAGACTGGTCATGGCCACAGGGCACCATTCCTTGGGTAGGCGGAGGAGCATCAAGGCAGTGACGGTCCTGACCTGGCCTTCTATGAATCCCACAGTTTATAAACCCAGAGGTGCTGAGCAACATGAAAAAGAGAGCAGTCCTGGAGGTAGTACCCGGCCCAACAACTCAGAAGATCCAAATCCTTCTGGGGAAAATGAATAGGATCCTGAATTTCCTGACCATCCCCGATTTGGAAAAGTTCATCGAGGCCACCACAAGGTTGCAAGTGAAGCAGTGTTCACACCAGTGTGCCTCCGCTTCCCCATGTCTCAAGTCTGACTTTAGGGCAGTCACCAAGCTGTCCCAGGCTTTATCCAGCAACCACTGAATGTCTTGGGCACGTGAGACCCCAGGAGCTTCATGAAAAGCCCCAAAGACCTGTGTGTGTCATTGGAGAGTTGCTTTACAGTTTGAGACCTGTCATAGCTCCTCTTTTGGGGAGAAGAGAAGTTAAGTTTTTCAGGGCTGACAATATCTGTGGCTGGGCAGAGACGATTCAGTGGTTATCCCCAACCTGACAGTTTCAGAAGCACCTTGTTCCTTCAATAAGCAATACATGGCAACACCTGTCTTGCCTCCTCCAACTGGTCACTGTTCTTCAGAAGTTCTACTGCAGCTGTTAGTTACTTGTCTGACTCAGGACACAGACTGTCCAGCTCACCCTGTTGACTATGCGCTCTTGGGCAGGTAGCTTTATGCCTCCATTTCCACAACTGTAAACTGAACCTAGGAGCACGGAATAAGTTGATGCATGTCTCATCCCTCCCTAGAACAGTGTCTTGCCATTAGAAACCACTTGGTGAGTGTCACTCCAATTAGCTAAGTCTCTCCCTTCACACCAGACCAGCTTCTAAGAAGTGTTTATCAGATGTGCATGTCTTAGCTAAGGCACATGTCCGCATTTCCCTTGGTTTCCAGAAACAGTCCGCTCAGTTTTCTCAATATGGTGTACATTGCCATGAGCCAACCGAATGACAAACCCAGACTAAACACCATGAAGTTGGGCCTCACCTGGCTCTGTAATGTGGATGGCATTTTCTTGAGGAAAAGAGGTTCAATACCTGACTCCAGATCCCATACTAGTTAGTGTCCCAACCTACCTGGCTACCAAGTGGTGATGACGTGTGTTTAATATGACTCCCCAGCCCAGGCTCAAGCCCACCCCAAATGCTGCTGCCAATATTCTGCTTGGTGCCGAGCCCCACCCACCCCACCAGGGAGCTGTGGAAGCTCATATCGGACACTGAGCACTGAGCTCCTCAGCACAGCTCTTGCCTGCCCCATATCATTTTGTCTTCACTGACCTGACAAAAAAGGGCGCTTCTCCTAGAAATGCAAAATAAACTAGATTTGACTATGTATTGATACTAAAACTGCAGGTTCAAGGGTTTCCTAAAGGATAATTCATCAGTGAATGCCCCAAGTTAAATGGAGCTGCTTCCAGTGCCCTCTAAAATGGTGTTTCTTCAGTATTTAATAAGGGCATCCAACAAACACAAAGCAACCACCACTTGCTGAGGAGACCAAAAGACTGTCTACACTTGGTGGCCAGGGATTGGGAGATGGGAGTGGGAGGCGCTTCTACAGTGGGAAACAAAGGAAAGAAATTTCAGTTTCATGGAGGACACAGTAGAATGGAAGCAAAGGGAGATCCTGTGGGTGAGGGCCAAGTCACAGAAACCTCTTTCTGAGCTGAGCTGGAGAATGAAGTTTGTTGGTCAACTTTTTTTTTTTTTTGGCCGTCTAGCCCCGCGCCCCCCATTCTTCCTTTATGAAAGGGAATCTCCCTTGTGAAAATTTAACAAGCAGCAATAAAACTATAGAAACTAAAAACAGTTGCATGAGTAGTCAAGGCGCTGTCAGAAGGTGCGCCACTAAATAGAAGGAAAATGTAATACATTATTAACAAGTTGATACAGGGGCAAAAGAGCACTCTAACAACAACAACAACAAAAAAACAAAACAGCAGCAAACATAGGGCACAACTCCCTCTTCCCCTGTGTCCTCTTATCCCCACTGCTTTTTCTTTTGCTTCTACTTCTTTCTGAGATCGCGGGGAGAACTCACTGGAGGGGGAATGGTGACACCGTCCTGCCTCTGCTCAATTAACCAGCATATAAAGAAAAACAGACACCAGAGCCAGAGACCCCCTTCCCCCTCCCCTCAGTGTACTCCAGCATCCTACAGAGTTTAACACTGTCCCAGCTGGTGAAGGAAAACCATCTCCAGGTCCTGCTCCAGAATCTCAAGGTTGGACAGAGAGTGAACTTGCAGCTGAGATGATCCTCCTCTCCTGCTCAGCTGTTGGTAGCATAGAGAGCCAGATACAGCACTCGCCCCACTGGAGGCATGGCCAAGATGAAAGCAAACTCTGGTAATGGGATAGGGTGGAGAAGTCTGCATGACTTGATCAAGTTGTTCAACAAGTGTTCCCTGAGCAACAAATGCTTCCTGGGGTTGTTCTCATAGGTTACTGGAGACACAGAAAGTTCCTTCACGATGGAGCTTCCAAGCTGGCTTGACAAAAACCATCAAGCAAATGGATCATGTGTCAGATATGAGGACAAAAGGACAACCAGGCCAGCTGGCTGTTGAGTGCTGAGAGTTGCAAGGATGCTATTTTGCTCTTGCAGATAGCAGGGTTTTGCAACCCTGACACTGCTGACATTGTGGGCTCAATTATTTTGTTGTGAGGACTGGCCTGGCATTGTAGGGTGTTTAGCAGCATCTCTTTTCTCTACCCTCTAGAAGCCAATAGTACACACACGTATGCACGCACACACATACACATTTAAACAATCTAAATATCTTTAGACACTGTCACATGCCTCCTGCTGGGTGGGGAGAGATTCCTACTTGCTGAGATACCACTATAGATGATGCTGGGGACTTTAGTTTTGTGAGTATCTATCTTGGTAAATGTTCCATGTATTCGAAAGAATGTATATCCTGCAACTTTAGGACATTCTGAATTTATGAATGGGGAAACTCAGGAATATCCACATATGATTCATTGTATTAAGACAGCTGGTCTCTCTAAAAAGAAAGTAAAAGGAAATCAAAACTTCAAAAACAAAAAATCAATTTCATGAAAACGAGCAAATAAAAATCGTAAGAGGATTGATCAAAATTAAAAAGGACTAAAGAGTTGTAGCAACCAAGTAAAATGTGTGAACCTGGCCTTAAAGAGTTGATGGGAGGGGGATAAATGAGGAAATTGAAATATGAACTACCTATCAGATACTGAGTTTACTTTTTAGGTGTGATTATGGTATTAGGATTATGTCAAAATAACACCTCACTCAATGGAGATGGGGCTGAAGTATTTAGGGCAGAATGCTATGACGACTTAAAACTTTCAAACAGCTCAGCAAAACAACGTGCTTATATAGACTGACACTTACAACCTATGAGATTTGATTTAAAATGTGTACAAGAGCCCAATCTTGTAAGATACAATACATATTTTAAAATCTAAAGTTATATGCCAAACACTAGTGAGTTTAATTTTGAGGGCTCATTTATGATTTTATATTTAAAAATTTAAAAGCTGTAAAAATGTCTAACAGTGAGCATATCTGTACAACTGGAAAATACTTTTTAAAACTTTTCTACTTAAAAATATCTATTTATTGGATGACTTTTTTTTTTTTTGGCAGTACCAGGGATTGAGCCCAGAGCCTGTGCACTGGGATATATCCCCAGCCCTTTTTATTTTTTATTTTGAGACAGAGTCTTGCTCAATTGTGCAGACTTGACTCAAACTTGGAACCCTCCTGCATCAGCCTCCCAGAGTGCCAGGATTACAGCAGTGTTCATGTCCAGCTATGTTAATGACTATCACTGTACAAGGTTTTCAGCGGCCACTTCCTTTTCACTGGATACTGAAGACAGACAAGCTACAAAAGAACAACCACAGGTATACTCCGGAGGAGAGGAAGTAGTAAAGTCCCTCCTTTTTGAGATGTAAGATCTCTCATCAACTTCTCCAGGTTCGTGTAACAGATAACCCCTTCACAAGAACTAAGGTTGACTATTCTGCCGTACTAACAAGGTAACAGAAATGAATTTAAAGATATACACTTGTTAAACTGGGGTGGGTACAGGTTTACGACGTTTTTGCAGTACCGGGTATTGAACCCCAGGGCCTTGTGAACACTACATTCCCAGCCCTTTTAAAATTTGAGACAAGGTTTATGCAAAGTTGCCCGTGTCACCTCAGTCTTCTGAGTAGCTGGGATTACAGGCCTGCACCCAAATTGTTTTACTATTACTACACTATTACTATACTTCAATACAGTTATCTGTGCCGACAGTACTTTTGCCATAAAAGAAAAACTTCAGTATAGATTTGAATATAGAATCTTTCCCCAGAGGCCCACGGCGCTGTTGATAGGTGGAGGAAACTTTAATGAGGAGACTGGTGGGCAGTCTCCTCATCAGCAGGGGCAAGTAACTCTGCCTCACCACACCCTGCCCACTATGACGCACAGCCTCACTGCACAGGCCCAGACATACTGGGGCCTAACAGTCACAAAACTGCGAGCCAAAACAGACCTCTCCTCTTTACAAAAAAATTTTAATGAAATATTAAGATGCTCCAAAAACATCTTTTCACAATAATTATCTTGCCGAAGGAATTTATGCAGTATATATAAAAGGTGGAAAATGTGAAAAGACTGGCGTAGAGTGTGTCAGTGCTGATTTCCCAATTATAATACTCATTACAGTCTGTAAGATGTTACCACTGAGGGAAACTAGGCAAAGGACACACAGATCTCTTACTTTTTACAACTGCTTGTGGATCCACTGTTCTCTCAATAAAAACTTCAATTAAAAAAATTTTGAAAGAATCCAAACATACACCAGATACAAGAAAATAGAAAGCAAAAATCTTTATTTTTAAAAAATTCATTTATTAAAAACAATTTCTAGCCAAATAATATAAAGCATTTTAAATTATTTGAAAGTATGTACACTCTGTATAAGTAAACATTTGAAACTGTACAGATTTAAACAAATATTCACTTAGCAACAAGCTGGATCACTGTCACCTACGTAGCACTTCGTAAGGTGTTTGAGTGTTTCAGACACAAAAGATCGAAATACAAGAACAAGTGCCATTAAATATTTTTATACTGAAGAACACACTCTGCTCTGTACATCAAACCACATCGGTCACAGTATTGTACAATAATCATGCCTTCATCTCTTTGGAAAGATACAGAAAATCCAAAGGTACATATAATACACAAAACCAGATAATTTACAGTTTGTCTCATTAAACATGTACTTAAAACAGTAGGTAGAAGTAAATACAATCTTCCTAATTCATTCATTTCAAAGCAAAGGAGAACATGGACCCTCTACCAAAACACAGAGTAACAAGCTCCATCAAGCAACATCTGTCACCAAAATAAAGGTGATTAAAAAACAAGAGACCTGTTACAGGCGACAAACACCAGGACAGAACCGACTGCACCTTGTGAAGAGCTGCACCGTGCAGGAGAGCAGCACTGGCACAGTGGCACTGCCTGCACCAAAGGGTCACGGGCCACTCCGGAGCCCTTGGTAGTGTCCCACCGCCACACCAGGGTTTAAGGGATTCAGAGCTCTTTCTGAAACAAGAACCACACTACACTGGCTGCTACAATATCAGAGGTGCAATCAATCTAATTCCAAATTTAAGGAGGAAGGGACCTGCAGGAAACTCGCTGTTGTGCGTCATGTGTGATCCCTGATGGGGTGTGGTGTTTCTAAGACGTGGGCAGTGTTTGTTGTCCTGGGTGCATTGGCAAAACATGTCCTGCTGTAATAGGGATGGAGACCCACGAGGCTGGTGCACAGCACAGTACAGCACAGCACAGGCTGCTAGACACATGTAACATGTGAAAGTGTTCACTTTTCAAACAACAGCTGCAACCAATGGCTGTTTGCAGAAGGTCCATAACTGAGCTTCATTCCAGAGACCTGCTACTCATCAGATTTCCTCCTCTCCTTTATTCCCAAGCTTTAAGACACCTTAATTGGTAATTCCCACTCACCCCACTGACTACTGTACCACAAAAACCCACATGGAAGGACTATACCAGCCAACAGCAAGAGTCTCTAGCTCCCTGCTTTGAATGCTCTGTACCACAACAGCTCAAGGGGTACAGATCCTGGAGCTGTCCACGAGGCCCTCACATCTTTAAAGTGCCTCACATTAAACAGAGGAAGGTAACACCTGAATCCTCAGGAAAGTAAGATGCATTCTCAGAAGCAACCAAGCCACTCCCAACCAAACATCAAATGACAGGAGAAACTTTACATTAAATAGAGAAATACAGAAATAAGGTTTGTGAGGCAGGAGGATCACCAGAAGTTCAAGGCCAGCCTTGGCCACATCGTGAGTTCAAGGCCAGCCTGAACTACACAGTGAGGCCTTGTCTCAAAAGAAATAAGGTTTGTAGAAGTAAAAAAATAGTCACTGTGGAATGCTCAGTGGTTAAAAGTGTTGTCATGTTTCATGCATTAGCAAACCTTACCTCTAGCAGCTTTCTCATCAGCTGCATTTCCATACAGTTTCCATAAAGTTCTTAGCACTATTCAACATAAACTATTTTTATTGCACAACTTTTATGAAGAAGCACTTCACTTCAAGCTCCTTGACTACCTCTCAAAAACTTACATTTAAATGAGGATCACTACACATCCATTCATCTTTGGCATGTTGATGTTTTCAAGAGGGAAACACCAATCTTTTCAACATTTTGCTTATGTTTCCTTCTGTCAGCACTGAGTAGCACACGCATGTGGGTCTTGGGGACAGTCCCATGAAGAAGTCCTGAGTCCTGCAGACTGCAAGACCTCTCAGCCCATTCCTTCCTGACCAGCCCGCTTATTTAGGAATGGACAGCAGAAGGTTTACCTGAAACGCAAAGCATAGGCTGTGTTAGCTCTGCTGCAGAATGCCGCCCTCCTGAAGAGGTGCCCAGAGCCTCAGAGGCAAAATGAGAAAGACCATTTGTAAAGCTGCTGGGCACTGGACATCTACAGGTCCTGCAAGGAGCCACTCTCCATCACCAAATCCAGGCCCTCAAGTCATTTAAAGTCTTTTTTTAGTATTTGTGCTGCCAAAGTGAGCACAAATCATTTGAAGTCTTAATGGCAGAATACACAAACACGTTATGACAGAAAGATTTTGACAGAATCAGTGGCACCTTTTTCTGTGCAGAATGTGTTTTGGGTACATTTGTGTATAGCCAAATTCTTTAAATGATTTTTTTAAATGCACAAGAACAGGTATTATTACAGGTGAATTTTAGTGTGTATGCTAACTCTGACAGGTGCAAGAATGCCTTGCCCACTTTGTAATGGAGGCCCAGGACCTCAGAGCTAGGACACCATGAGGACAGGAAGGGAAAGGCAGCTTGCCCGACACAGGCTGTGGAAAGCTGTAGGTAAATGGACCAGGCTGTGAGGCCTACACAGTATAACTGCTTTGGTGACCAAGTAACATCACCCCCCCCAGCTCTTTTTATAAATATGTGTTGCAAGGGGAAGGGATATAAAGTCACATCTATTCTTCTTCTGCCAACAATACAAAACCTCAGTCTAATCATGAGCAGAGAAACTTCAAACAGAGAGACAGCTGAGCTCAAGGAAGACTGTGGACTGCTCCAGCTTTAAAGAAACTAGAGATGTGACCCCTGAGAGTAGTGTATGACCTGATACTGACCAGGGACTCGGTGATAATATCTGAAAAGAACATTGTTAGAACACTGGTAAATTTGTAGTATGAACTGTAGACCAGACCACAGCATCAATGTCACATTTCAGAAGTAGGAGTGCAAGAGAATTTCCTTTTCTTAGGAAATTTACTCTGCAGTATTCAGAAGTAAAGGAGCACAGTGCTTCCCAACTTCTTCTCAAACAACCTAAAAAGAGGAGTAGGGAGGGGAGAAAATAAGATGACAGAGCAGAGGAGGCAAATTGTAAACTGCATGAAAGGATAGATATGGGAGCTGGTATACCATTTTGTTTACCTTGTCTGTAAATTTAAAAGAATAAATTTATACTACTATACACTGGTGCTATAGTTTGGACCTGGAATGTAGTATCAAGGCCCAGAATTCAAGGCTTGCTTCCCAGCTCACAGTGCTGCTGGGAGGGCATGGAAACCTTAAAAGAGGTGGCACCTAGAAGGAAGTCTTCAGGCCTCTGAGGATGCACCCTTGAAGTGGGTAGGAGACTCACACTCCTTTCATCTTCCTATATTTTGCTTCCTGCCCATGAAGTGAGAGATGCTTCGCTGTACCACCCATTTCCAAAAGTAACAGAATCAACTGACCATCAACCAAAACCCCAAAACTATAAGCCAAAATAAACCTTTCATTTTATAAGTTGATTATCTTAGGTATTTAGAATAGTAATGGAAAACAGTCTAACATAATTGGATCTTATGATCCACGCCACATCTACTTCATGCAACTGACTATGACTACAGGAAAAAAACTGGACAACTAAGTTGAAGGATTTCTTTTTGGACTGATAACCACTAAACCCAACTGTGCCTTCCTCCTTCAACCTCTCACACTCCTACCCCTCCTCACTCTCACCAATGACCTTGCTTCTTACTTTGCTGAGACCAGGACTTACTTCTTGGACTAGGACCCCCATGAGCTCCCACACCCACCACCTTTCCAGCTCTGTGCCCACACACTCAGACTTCTCCTACTCACGGCCGGCCACCAAAGGGTCTACCTAACTGTTTCTGAGATTCCACCCCACATTTGCCACTCCCCGCTCACCGGAGCTCTCCCACAAACATACAAACATGTGTTTCCCGATCACTGAAAAGAAAGCAATAGGTATTCAAGTGAGTAATAAAGAGTGATCTATAGGGGAAGAAGGGAAAGGGCTGGGGGACATTGGAAAGGGAAAGAACGACTCCGGCAAATTTACCTTGCTCTGTGATTCTAACCTGAAAGTCACATAAATATTTCACATAATTACAAAGCAAAATTAAATCTTGAAACACTGAAAACAAGCCTAACTTCAGCAAGTGGTGGCATAATCATCCAGAAAAGTCACTTCAAATGACTTAAAGAAAGTGTTTGACTGTACACCCTACAACTACAGGGATATTGTTTTGCTGTTGTTGTTGTTGTTTTGCTTTGGGGGGTTTTTTTTCGTACTGGGGATCAAATTTGAGACCATGCACTTTCGAGGCAGGCAGTGGAACCACTGGGTTAAATCGCCGGCTACAGGGATTTTATTTTTTTAAATATGATCCCCATATATCCATACAAAGACGCATACACAGCCATAAAAAGAATGAAATTTTGGCACATGCTGCAACACGGACGAGCCTTGAAAATACACTAGATGAAAGAAGCTACTTATAAAAGGTTGTATGCTGTATGATTTCATTTAACGAATACCAGAATAAGCAAACACACAGAGACAACTAATAGGAAAAGAAGGAATAGAAAATCTGCTAACAGCTAAGGGGTTTCTTGTAAGAGTAATGAAAATATTCTGGAGTTAGATAATGGTGATGATTATACAATTTCGTGAGTATATTAAAATCCACTAAACTCTGCACTTTAAAAGGGTGACTTTCATGGTAAGTAAATTATATCTCAAATTTTTAAAAGGCCCCATTTTACCCTCCAGCTTTCTCTTTTCTTATATAACAAAACTTTCCTAGCTCCTCTCCACAGCCTCTACTCACTTCAGTCAGGCTCTCACCAGCCTTACCTCTCTATTCGCAGTTCTTCAGTCCTTATCACACACTAAATGTCTAAATTACACCAAACTTAAAACCAGAAATAAACTGTTCTCCACAGCACCAGCTACTCGGTATATAATGGATACACTACAATTTGCTGGCTGAACTGAATCAATGAGTGACAGTGAACACAAACTGGCCCCATATTGTTTTTCTAATTTAGAAAGAAAAAACATTCCCAGCATCTAGTCTAATCTTTAAAATAACCTCCTCTCTTTTTCACTTGAAATGTGCGTATTTCAGTCAAAATGATTCAGCAAGCTAAACGAATGCCAGTATTTGAGTCTTTATTTTAACACAGGTCATTATTTTAACATAGCAGCTTTCACTATCAGAAAGGATTAAAATGCAAATGAAAACTAAAACTGTCCCTCAAAAGCAATTCAAAGTCTGAATTCTTGCTCATCAGGATAAACAATGTACAGTTTTTAAAATTAAAACTAAAGCCAAGTTTCCTCCAACATATTATTTACTGAAGTAAAATGACCCAGGAGGCACAAAGTCCCCAGGACTTCGGTATGGGGGTTACCTGTTCCATGGAAGGACAAGCGATGATCTGGATATCTTCAGGGCTGAACTCCTCCTTTAACAGAGAATGGAACTTCTGAAAGACTTGCTGAATGTTATTCTTAGAAAAAAGAAGAGAATGTCATATCAGATAAGTCATAAGAAACATATACATCTTAAACCTGAAGCACTAAGGATATTAAATCATTGTGGTTTTTGCTAAAACAAATGGAGGAAATGTATCTTTCTTGAGATTCCCAAAGACATAATTTAAACCTAACATTTCCATGCTAGCACAACCTGATAAAGACTTATCAAATAATATTTCCTGGAAAAACTAAACTCTAGAAAACTCTTGTCCTCTCAGAAAATAGTAGTCTTCAGCCATTTCTTACACAAAAAGTAGTAAAGTTCCAAGACATATAAAATGTACTTTAAAAATCAGCCAACACCTTGGGTAAAGACGTGAGGCTCAACACAGAACTAGAAGATGTGACTCTTACATTTGCTTTGACACTTAATCCCTCAGTGGCTGTTGCCAGCCATTTATCTCTACTACTCACTAGTAAAATGGAGCATAATTCCAGAAATGCTGCTCTCTCAAGGGCTGAACCATATGCAATATGAGCACCTGATTTTTTTGTTTACTCATTTCTAATTTTAAAGTTAACATATCATAGGGCCAGGAATTTAACTCAGTGGTGCTGCCGCTTGCCTCCAACTGCAAAGGTCCCAAGTTTGATCCCCGGTACCAGAAAAAACCCATAAGATAAAGTGAGGGTATAGGGAAAGGGAAGATAGATAGATGATAGATAGATAGATAGACAGAGGCTCTGAAAGCCTTTAAAGAATCATGGTGATTATTAATCAACTTCACTAGGATAGAATACAACATTTTTAAATGTCTACAGGAAAAGAAAAATGATAGGTGAGAAAAGAACACTGGAACACACTGGCCAACATCCAAAGAAAGTATTGTGCTACTCACCCTAACAGGTTTAAATAAGATGAACTCTGTATCTTTATTGGATAGGTACAATGACATGCTTCTCAATGTCAGAGGAAGCTTTGCTTTTATTGTCTTATAGGCAGTTGCGACAAGGTCACTAACCTTCGCTGCAAAGAATATAATCCTGTTAGTATCACAAAAGAAAAAGAAACATTTCCATTTTCATGCAAAGGGGAATAATGAAATAGAAAAAGGAAATACTTTATTTCCACAAGAATTTTCTTTTTTTCTTTATCAAGTAAAATTACAAGCCCTATAAACATTAAGTATCTACTATCTACAAAATTCTAACCCCAAAGGCTGAGGCAATAAAGAATTTCTCCAGCACACATCACAACATTTACTGGGGCTGTAATATGAATCTTTAGAACCTGAAGGTATGAGATACACTTTTTAAAAGTCATTTTATAGAGCCAGGCATGGTGGTACATGCCTGTAATCCCAACACTTGGGAGGCTGAGGCAGGAGGATCGCTGGGAGTTCAAGACCAGCCTAGGCTACATAGTGAGTTCCAGGTCAGTCTCAACTACATAGTGAGACCCTATCTCAAAAAAACAAAAAATAAAATAAAATAAGTCATTCTATAGAGACACTAGTAAGAATTACTTCACAATAAACAAGCACCTGACTTAGGTCATTTGGGAGATATCCACACATATTGAATTAAATATCCATTTGTTACCATCTTACACAGTATTATCAGACAGGAAATAGAATTCCAAAGCTTTTACAAACAGCTATGTAATCGCAGTGTAGTATGTGAAGGAGCTACATAGGAAGAGCAGTCATCTGTATGAAGTATTTAAGCGAAGAAATTACCTAGACAGCTACAAAGGAAAAGATGATCAGAATCTCAAAGATAATCAGTCTCACTCAAAATTAATGTAAATTAAAGCAGTGAGATAGATTGGCAAAAACTATCCACGTTTGATAAGGATGCAGGGAAACAGGTATTTGGCCCTTCGTAGCCACATACTCTACGTTCACGGATTCAGCCAAATGCAGTTCAAAAATACTGAGAAAAAACAAAAACAAAAACCAAAGCTGTGTCTGTACCACTTACAGACTTTTTGTCACTCCCTAAATAATAGAGTATCACACCTATTAACACAGCATTTAGATTTTATTAGGTATTACAAGTAATTTAGAGATTATGTAAAGTATACAAGAGGAGTTCTCAGGTTTTGCAAATACAGCACGTTATGAGCTGGGGATGAAGTTCAGTGGCACTGTGCCTACCTGGCAAGTACAAGATCCTGAGTTTGATCTCTGGTAACCAAAAAAGAAAAAAAAAATCACTCTATATGAGACTTGAGCATTCATAGATGCTGGTTATCTGTGGAGGGTTCTGGAACCAATCCCAAATAGACACTCAGAGACAACTGTACCTTTACTAGCTGCCGATGGGAGAAGAACAGTTCAGCTTCTCAGGGACATTAGGCATTATCTAACAAAACTGAAAATATCCTTTCACTTAACATTTCCACTACTAAACTTTATTCTATTAATATAGCTCACTCACTACCAAGTTACGTGTACATAGAGACTTTTATGGAAGACTATATAGAAAAACAAACTAAAAATAATTGAAATATCCCTTAGCAGACTAAAGAAAGTGTGCATGATGATGCACCCTATGCACTCATCAAACATAATGGACAGGGATGGCTGTGCTGATACAGCAGGACTACAAGATACACAGGAAGTGAAAACAGCACAGGGCACGGCCCAACCTCATCCAGGGAACAAATTTTGAAGTCCAAGTGACCTAGCACGTACATAAATGATTTGGAGAGAGAAACTGTGGCAGTGGTTACCTTAGAGAGAAGAACTACTTCGCAGGTAGAAAATATAATTTTTCATTTTATGCCTTCACAATTCAAATTTTACACCATATTAACAAAATTAAAAAGGGTTGTGGTAAAACAAGGCAAGAATGGTTTGGTTTTCATTAAATAAGTGAAAGCTCCTTCTGGACCTTCCTCTATGGACTCTGGCTGTCATCACCAACCCACTTCAGGGATCACTAAATCAGTTTTCAGAGCCCTTAAGAAGCACAAAAAACAAAACAAAACAAAAAAATCCTATCCTGAAACAAGTTAACAAATTGGCATCCTGTCTTGTGAGTTTATAATGATGTGATCCCCTAAATTTGACCAGCTCTGGATGAACCATCTCCCTAGACTTCTAAGGCAGAGGGGCTCAAGACAGATTGTCCTTGAGGCCCCCAGCCCATAAATCTCTCTCTCTTTTTTTTTTTTGTCTTGAAACAGGACTTCACTATGTAGTTCAGACTGGCCTTGAACTCACTATGTAGCCCAGACTGGTCTCAAGTCACAGCAATCCTCTTACCTCAACCTCCCCAGTGCTGGGACTACAGGCATGCGCCACCGTGCCCAGCCCATAGATCTCTTTTAACATTAAAGTGTGGGCTTCGGGCATTACAGACCATGAAAAATCAATGCCACACTTCCCCAAGGGCTAACAGGATAGAAGATACAACCACAAAATAGACTGAACAGTCTGTGAGGCTGAGCAGGACTGCCACTAGTTCAAGGCTAGCCTGAACTACACGGCAAGACCCTGCCTCAAAAAAAAAAAAAAAAAAAAAAAAAAAAAAAAAAAAAAAAAAAAAACAAAAAAAAAAAAAAAAAAAAAAAAAAAAAAAAAAAAAAGACTAAAACAGTCACTGGAATAGTCACTGATACCATCTTACTTAGAAAGAAACCAAATAGGTTAAACAACAAAATAGCAAGTCATATTTCAATCAATCCTTTTTGTCAGTTTATGTATTCCTACTTTACTAATAACCTTCTAATAATGCTTAAGAGCACCATACACATAACACTGTGAATTCCATTAGGATTCCACTTGAGAAAATAACAGCTCCTACTTTGATCTTTCTAAAATGGAAAGAACAATACATTAATTATGCATCAAGTCTCTGGGCTTAGCTGTACTCAAGATGCCTATACCTATCTGCTGGTTTTGCCTATTTTAAGAAAGATTAATTGCATCCACGAGTTTCATTTATATAAACATTCAAATTATAAATCAGCTCCTATTTCTAAATAAGCCTTATAAGTAATTGAAACCATAAAACCAAAGGCTCCAATTAACTCAAAGATCACAAATATCACTCCAAGAGTCAAAAGGTGAGTTCAGGACTGATAAGTCTGCTCTGGACTGTGAGGAATCAGAATAGGTAGTTCACACTAAAGCACACTATGAGTAGAATTGCCAGTCTTGTCAGTAAAATATTCTGACTTCCATTTTCTGACAGAATGTACAACTGCATGAAATATGCAGCTTTTTAAAGTTAAAGATTTAAATCTCATACACAATACCAATGTTTAAAATAATAAAGCAGAACATCCCGGCTCCATCATAGTAAACAAAAGGCATGTAACAAAGTTTATGTGCAACAGAACAAATTAACGCAAACCCCTACTGACATCCTCACTGTGTATAAGGGACCTCTGCAATACAATCCTTTCTTTGGAAGACAACTGATAATGCTCTACAACTGTGTATCTTCCTAAGAAATACCTTTTAACTTCTTGGCCCAACTTTAAATTAACTCAGGCATTCACAGTAACTGAAAATTCTGGAAGTTTAGAATGGCTTCAATGCTGTTTCTCAAAGGAAAAGAATACCTGACAGATATATCATTCTCATGGAAAAATCAGTCATATCTAAAAAGTTGATTGCATATTAGGTGTCTGTAGCCAGCCAATTTTCATGGATAAAAAACTAGAAACACTCTTTGGAACTATTTCACTACGAGGAAAAGGCTACTTTACAACTTGGATACTCTTAATAAAAACACTTATTTCACAATTTCACCCTTTTTAGTTTCAAAATATGGGTCAGGGATGGCCAGAAATACAATTTAAAAAATAATTTGTTCTGATTTAATGGCACTTCAAAGTGCCACAAAATGTACCAAAAATAACCTGAAGTTAGGGATAATTTTAAATATCTAACATCTAATACTAAAGAATTCTCCTATCAGACTGGGGTTGCCTGTCAGCAGGACAACGTTTGCCTAATGTGAGCAAGGAAGTCAATCGCTAGCACAAAAAACAAAAAGAAAAAAAACTGTCAGGGCCAGGCATTTAGCTCAGTGGTTCCACGGCCTGCCTCACAAGAGCAAGGTCCCAAGTTCGAGCCCTGGTACAAAAAAAAAACAAACTATCATCACCCCAAAACAAAAAATTCTGCAGCACTGAAACAAAAAAAAAAAAAGAGGAAAGAGGGAAAAAAACACCCATTTAGGCAAGAGTTAAGAGTAGACATTTCAGTAGGACAGGAACTAGTACAAAAAATCAAAACAACAGGGATCTCATCTTATTAAAAAGCTTTTGCACTGCAAGAGAAATCACCAACAAAGCTGAGAGAACCTACAATGTGGGAAAAAAAATTTATCAGCTGTTTCTCAAAGGACTACTATCAGAATATATAAATAACTTTTAAAAAATCAGGACCCCCCCCACATATAAAGACCCTGTTCAAAAATGGGCATTTGAAGTGAACAGACATTTCTTAGACAAAGAAGTAAAAGCAGCAAATAAATATATGAAAAAATGTTCAACATCACTGGTTATTCAAGAGAGGCAGATGAAAACAACACTGATATTTCATCTCATCACAGAAAGAATGGCTATTATTAAATCAACCAATAACAAATGTTGGCAGGGTTGTGGGGAGAAAGGAACCCTTCACTGTTGGTGGGAGTGCAGACTGGTGCAACCACTGTGGAAATCAATATGGAGATACCCAAAAAAACTAGGATTAGAGGTCCTGTTTGACTCAGCTATCCCTCTACTGGGTATCTTCCCAAAAAAATTATAAGAATCATATCAATGTGATACATGCACACCCATGTTTATAGTGGCACAGTGTAATAGCTAAAACCTGGAAACAGCCCAATTGCCCATTAACTGGAGACTGGATAAAGATGATGTGGTTTTTTTTAATATATATAAAATAGAGTACTACTCAGCCATAAAGAATGAGAAACTGGGCTGGGGATTTAGCTCAGTGGTGCCACCACCTGCCTCGCAAGCACAAGGTCCCAAGTTTGATGCCTGATACCAAAAAAAGAATGAGAAACTAAAGACATTTATAGCTAAATGGATGCACATTAAGGCCATACTCTTAAGTGAAATAAATAGGACAAACATGTAAATACTGAATAATCTCCTAATGACAAATGTAACTGTACTGTATACTTAAAATATACCAATAAACTTAATGAAAAAATAAATAAAATGCAGTTCCACCTTTAAAAAAAAGGACATTTGAAATATATCTGCAAATTAGGCAATGATATTGCCTGCCCACTCCCAAATGACACCTCAATTTTTACAATTTTTTTCAAATACTCTAAGCTATCAACAGGGGATGTAATTTAGAGAAAACGTGGAACAAAATAGTGGCCCAAATTTCATATACTTGAAAATAGGTGTTCTTTCTCCATAACTTCATTCTGTCAAATGTACTATTTTTATCAAAACTCTGTCTTATCCAAAGAATAATGGGTACACAGAAATCAGACTCCAAAGTGTTTCCATCTGAGCCACATTTTATTTTTAACTGGATAAAACTTTTTAAAATTCTTCCTCTCTTGGAATGCTTACTGAGATACACATAGTGCTGGCCAATTAAGACCTGTCACTCCAGAACGAATCTTATATTAACTCAGATCATAGTGAATAGGAAACTAATTCCAAGCTGTCACAGTAAAGGTATATAAATAAAAATTAATAATATCCTAAAAAAAGGAATCCAAAATAGTAAAACCTGAATACCTGGCTGTGCCCAAGGCTGCTGGGAAAGGCTATACTTGGGGCCTCCTTGGCTGGCCATTGCTTTTAATGCTGAAACCTAGAAGAGGAGACAAAAATAAATGCTTTGTTTCATCAATGACAAACTGTACTGTTCTCAAAAGATACAAAACACAATTTAAACCTACTAAAACATACTGACAGTCTAATGTGCAACTATAACAAAAATGCATTGTATCTCTTAGTCCTTTATAGCCAACAAAAATTTTTAAGTAAAACTTTTGTGATTTCATAGCATATGTTACCTTGCAAAAAAAAAAATCATATAGGGCATTGTCCCTGATACATTTCCATACAGGAGGATGGAAACGAAGGCCCTACAGCAGTGATGGCAAACCTTTAGGCTTTCAATGGTATGAATAGCCCGCTGTGGCATGCATCCTGTATATTCAGCACCGATGCCGTAGAGAAGTACCAACACAAAGCTGGTCTCTCTTAAGTGGACTGTTGTCATTATTACCATACGTTATTAAAAAAATATAGCCCAGCAGGATAAAAATCACCTTTACAGGAGCTGGGCGTGGTGGTGCACCCCTGTAATCCCAGCACTTGGGAGGCTGAGGCACGAGGATCACTGTGAGTTCAAGACCAGCCTGGGCTAGTGAGTTCCAGGTCAGTCTCAACTACATAGTGAGACCCTATCTCAAAAAACCAAAAACAATCAATCAATCAATCAATCAATCACCTTTACATACCAAAAGGATTTTTTTTTCTTTTTCCAGGCAGACAGAATGTCATTGAAACAAAGAAACAGGATCTTCAAATACCATCAAGAGGCACATTTGACCATTGAGTTCTAAAAACAGAGTTGGGCACCCATCCTTCATCTCTATCATTCCACAGCAGCAGTACAGAAAAGTGAACACAAAAAGTGCATTCAGCTATTCAAACAAGACTGTTGCTAATATAATAGCAGTAAGAGTAAGAAATGGTTGGGGAGGACTGGGGATTTAGCTCAGAAACACAACACCTGCCTGGCAAGTGCAAGATCCTGAGTTTGAACCCCAGTACCAAAAAAAGAAAAGAAAAAAAATGAAATGGTTGGGGAGGGTAAAAGACAAATTACATAAAACTTTTTTTTTTTAATGACCATATGCCAAAAGTCCAGGCCATGGTGTTGGCCTCACCTGGAAAGTCTCATTAGAAAAACCTGAGTACCAACATTTTAGCTTTCTCATGAAAAGAGGAAACCAAATATTCAGAGAATGGGCATGGACAGGTATAACATCAACTCAGACCTCTCAGACTTCTTTATTTCTAATTTATCTTTCTACTCCTAGACCACTCTAGGCCTTTGTTTGTGGGGCCCATCTGCATAAACCCCTTCTTTCGTCTTTCCTCTCACTCAATTCTTTTTTTTTTTTTTTTTT